GTTAGTGTATTCTGCCACCAAGTTCTCACACTTAATTGCAGAATTATTAATAAATCTAAATGAGAGGTGGGTATGTTCACCAAGTGATTCGTGACCATCAAAGACGTCTTTTCGAACACCACAAATGAACGAAGTTTTATGAAGAGACGTAATTGAATAGCTGACGCGTTGAAGGGATACTTTTCTGAAGTAAACATGATGTTCACTGGTTATCAGACGGTCAGTTTGGTCACATCTGAGTTTAACTTCTCCATACTTCGCGTCTTTCATACTCACCTGGTTGGGCGGGGTCTGCGCTGCAAATTGTGTGGGGGCCTTGTTGAACAGAAAAAGTTTCACAACAAGTTTTTCCCTCTTTCGTAGAACGGCTGATTCTAGAGTTGGCTGAAGTACTATCTTTACTTCCTGAAGTACAATCAGACAACAGTTCACGTTTCAAGTTCTCCTCTACATTCTCTGTGGTAACACTGTTACTCTCATTGTTTATTGGTTCAGTGAAATTTGATGAATTAAAATCGGAACTTAAATAAACAGTTCCGACAGAATCTTTTACGTCAGAAACGTTTTGAACGGATGATTCAGAATTAATACTGCAGCCTTGGACGAAAGTATCTGTTTTCATTTCGTGTTCAGACTCACTAGCTTCTATGGCATTGGTCCACTGAAAAGTTCCCATTTTTTTGTGGATAAATTCTATCAATTGAAGACCATTAATGAAACCATTGGAAAACGTGTTTGGCAATTGATCTCCATCTTTATTTCTCTCTGGAGGGCCAGAATCAGGACTCGCTCTCACTAATGAGAGTTGCTGACATTGATTCACAAGTACAGAATCATTGTGTTCACTGCCAAGATTCTTTGTGCTAATAGCTTCCACCAGCGACCCATTTCCAAAGGCATCAGATCCTTTCAAATCATTACTAACTTCTCCGCTCTCCCTAACATCAAGATCTTTAAATTCATTTCCAGCAACTTCTTTCAAATCATGACAAACTTGCTCCAAATTACTACTGCCATTATCGTCCAAAATATTTCGATTAGTAGATTCGATGTCATTATGAATTCCCGAATTATCAGCCAAACAATGACTACAATTATCTTTCCAATAATTATTTTCATCGTCTTCTTTATCAATTTTTTCACAAACTGCAGGCTGTTCCAAATCTTGCATACAACTTTCTTTTGAATCGCCATTCATCGACAGTTCTTGTTCCAAAACGTCGCTATCAGTTCCTTCCACAATGCCAGGGAGAGATCCTAGACTATGAGCTTCTTCCTCGCCACTGTCATTAATCCTATCCGTATGATCTTCAGCTGTTTCTTTGAAATAAGTGAATCCTTGATTCTCACTCGCGCATACATTTTGACCTGTGTTTTCGGATACATTTTCGTCCTTGTCTGATGGGACACCAAGTAAAATGTTTAGGTCATAACCCTTCTGAAGCACGCCACGTACAGTACAGCAAACGTGTTCACGACCTGGACCAATAGTCGAACAAGAATTGGAGCAGTCGTTGTCATGATGTTCAGTTGCAGGGGTCACATCGACCTGAACAATAGACATATTCAACGACTGTAACTTTTCTTTTAAAACTAGTTTATCATGGGAATCGATTTCCAAATAATCTTTATCAAGGAAACGTTCTTTGGGAGATAATGCATTCAATTTAACCTGGGGAGTGCTACTAGAGGTAAATTCTTCTGAATCTGAAGAAGAATCATCGTTGGTGTCTGCAATCTTCCAAAAGGAACAGCGTTGTTGCAGCTGCTGTTGAAAAGCTACGAACGTCATCACTTTTTCGACGACTAATTCGATCCGCTGTATCTGAGCTGCCAGGTTGTTCATAGACTGAGCGAATGCTTGTGCAGAATGCAGGAACTTGAAAAACCTTTCAGCGTAGACTATATGGAAGGGTTCTGCCGCATCGTGCTCCTCCATGATTTCTGCAACGAAACGAAAAAAATAAATTATCCTACACAGCGATAGTTTTACAACTTTGACACATTAAGAAATCATTTTCGATTAACACGTTTGTGTGTCTCTGAAACCAACACTGCAAAGGCGTTACATCCCTTATTTTCTAAATATAAATAAGTAAGTTTTATTAGTCTCAATAACAGTTAACTACTTGCTATCATCGAAAGTGAAATCGATTTGAAGACAAAAAATGAACTTGTAAAGAATGGAGAAGAAAGACCAAAAACCGTTAAGAGAATAAATTTTCCAAGACTGAAAAAATTGCCACCTTCTTGAAATAAAAATTTATGTTGTGTGATATTTATGAAACGACTTGGTGCTTATCGCACGTGCTATGCCTGTTTGAAATGCCTTTTGAAAACAACCTTAGGTCACATGCTTAGAGGACATGACACTGAACACTTAAGAAGCGGCTGTAACACAACGGAGTGGACAGTGGGCTACCGAATATAACCCGAAAAAATTACGAGAGTAAAAATCTCTCAAGATAAATTATAATACAAACTATTATCAAATATGTGTTCGTAGACTTCCGCGGGCGGTATCATTGGTTACTTGGCCGTCCGGGGTGAGTCGCGTCTTAGTCGATCGAGCTGGCGTTTCGGCCATCGTCTTGTGACATTCAGAGCTAAACAGCTGACATATTCTATGCTGCCTGTCTTTTGAATGCCCAACTGACAGATGAGCGCGAGCGCCCGCGATGGCTCGCGGCTGGGCTCACGCGATGAGATGGAAGTTAACGGGGGGAAGAGGGACGCATAAGTTGGGAGAGGGAGGAGTAGACTGAGTACTAGTAGAGTAAGTACGCTGTCGAAAGAGCATACCAGAGCTCTTCAGAACTGTTTGGAGCAGGTGTCTTGCATTGCGGTCCCAATGACAAGTAGGCGCGGAAACTTCGAATTGGGTGCAACAAACGCATTGATGTTTCATAGAGTAACTGAATTATAAAAACTGACTTATTTTAATTTACAGGCAAACAAAAATAGGAATATTTTATTCAAGCATTTTTCATTTTCAGAAAATGGTCTAACCGGATTAGTAAGCAAAAAATGAAATAAAGTAATGCGTTTTAACACAGATTTTAATCCAAAATAAAACAGCAATTGGTTCCTACCTCACTCACCCACCAAATAGCTGCCTTTTACATTACATGATTATATTTTTTACATCACATTAATGGATTTGTTTCGTACTAAATAACACCATTCATATTTATTTTTGAAAAATTATATTTCTAATTTCAATAAAAGCATAACATCAAATATTTTCGAAATTTGTTGAAGTACCAAATAAGTTTTTGGGGACTGCTTTTAGGTGCGAGACAGTCTGCAAATTTACAACTTCACACTGCAATTGTGATTTAACTTTCACGATTTCATAGCAAAAGGATTTGAAAGAAGTTCAATAACACTATTCGAGGTTTTACAATCAGTAAACCTGTTGCACAACTCTCGAATTCCATTCACACAGTTGTTTGCGCTCACTTTTCCATACGAATACCGGAAAGCGAAAGCCAATTCGCACTGCTCCCATGCCATGCGCTTCGGAACCTACGGCTGTATGCCTTAAACCGCGCCAGTCCCCTCTCACACCCTAAGAGTATATATCACACTCAACACTCACCATGATGGTCAATCGGATTCCCATTAAATTTCGCCAGCAGGTAGAACACCACACAAAACCCACATATCCAAATTGAAGTGCTATGGAGTATTAGAAATGGCATTTTAGAGGCGATTTGCATCCAGACCTTTCGTGACATCTGAGCCTCCCGCAGATCGTAAACTTTCAGAGCTGTCTGGAAACCTACGACAGCGCCAGAAAGGTTACGCGATGTCTGTCAACCGGTGTGAAATATCTAGCGGGTTCGTTCTTACCCAACAGATGGCAAAGGCCATATCCGTTGGTCTCTTTTGAGTGTGAAGTGCACAGTTACACGTGTTGTTAATAATTTTATCGAAGTCAGTTGTAAGGAAATCGTAAAACAATGCTCTCATTAAGGAAAAACTTACATATGATACAGTTGGTGACATTTTGTGTTACATTCTAATTTTGACATTTTTATTAATCCCATTATTTTGAAAATTTTGTTTTTCTAACCAAAAAGTGAAATGTAGTTATTTATTTATTTATTTATCGTAAATCAAGGTACCATTTTCAGGGACTTTAATCTTTGCAAAAATTATAATTAGAATATTCAAGCAAATGTTCGACCTTTTCGTCTGTCCTAACTTTCCCAGTACTCACCCTTTTTTGTCACCACGCCTGCACTCCGAGGCAATGGCTCCCTGCTGACAGGCAGATGGCGGAAGCGCGCTGCGCGATTAACAACTGACGGCGCACGGCGATTCCAGCGCTTGGGCAGGCAGAAAGGTCATGAAAGATCTCAGTACTAAATGTCGCAAACACGCTACTAGGAATGCTTCACAGCACTTATAATTTTGTATTTCGGGGTGCTGAAATGTGCTGAATAAGCTGGTAAAATTGCATATCAATCCGAAAATCCAGCACTGCGACTGTTGCGTCGCTGAATCTGTCCATCGCCATGTGACATCGTGATATATTTTTAGTCCAAAATATGTAATAAACTTATTGTGTAGCTTTGGAACACCAGAAGCCTACAGAAACGAGATGTAAAATCAACTTTGACTTTAGGACTCACTGATGCGGGTTGTCTTCTCGGCAACTCGAAGATCTTTTAAGATTAGTATGTGATTTAAAAATTATTACTAGAGGAATAAAGATATTTGAAACAAACAAAATTTAATTATCTTTTCACTAAAGTGCAATAAGAGTTTTCTATTACTCAAAAATCTGCAACAATAGTAGGCATTCATTTATCGTGAACTACTAGGAGTGTATTTTAAAACTTTCTTGCCTCCCCTGCTCAATTAAAAAAGGGTGAATGACTTTCCTGGTTATCTTAGTATTTAATGATGAGCCGATCCGGTGGCCGAAATCGCTAAGGCAATAGTGTCGCGGTTCGAGTCCCGCCTCGGGCATAGTTGTATTGTGTACGTCCTTTCATCTCCTATCATTATCATTATCATCATAGTGGTCGCTAATGACCTAGTAGTTGATGCGACCTTAAAAACACACACAACTTTTCTGTACAGGACTGCTATACATCGGGATGAATACTTGGTATCGATGCCTCCTGCCTTAAATTATTGGATTGCAAGTTCCTTGAGGTGGAACCGCTTCCTCGAGGCGCTGAGCTGCCCTGGCCGTCCACGCGGAGGCGCTCTCCGCTTCCGGGCACGCACTTCTGCCCCTCCCCCGCGGGCGATTAGTCACAGGTTCGGAATGGCCAGAGGAAACGTTACACTGCGCTGCGCCATCGAGAGCGGCGGGGCCCGGCCAGGCGCGCGGCACGCCAGGCGGAGGTGGGGGTCGATCCCAAGACGTGGAAACGGAATGGTTGATCTTGTGAGTTTTCAAAAGGCAAAGTCTCTGACAGTTATTCATGTTTATTGCGTCCAGGCCATGCGAGTTCTGCGGGGGTGGCGTTAATGGCCTCGTAAATCTCCCTGTTTCGCATATAAGGATCCTTAGCGATTGGATATCAGACAGACAGCCTACAGACTTGCTGTGTAAACTTCACGCTGTCTGCAAGCTTCTACTTCTTCAATTAAAACTTATTTCAGTACTTCATCGAACTAGTCCTCTGTACTTGAAACTCGTCTCACCACCACGCTCTCCAGGGAACTTAGCTTCCCTGCAGAACTCAAGCTTTTTTTTGCATCTTACTGAAGCATTTGTAATGCCTGAATCGCCTGCTAGTAGGCCACGACACCTACAGGAAAGGCAATTACACAATCGCGTAGTTAAAAGTCGAATTCGGCCACTTGTCCGGACGGAGAATTATTCGTGGCCGTTGCCTCTAAATCAGTTTTCGGTAAGTTTTTTGCGACCAATACAAAGCACGCGAGATCTCTAACAATCAGACCAAACACACACACAACACACACACCCCACACACACACACACACTAATCATCAACGTGACTGGAGCCAGCGTCGGGCAGTTTGTGCCCCGCTGGGGTGGCAAGCAGCAAACTGACATGTAGGTTCAGCACCCGGGAAATTCTCATTCAGCCGCGGGAGAAACACCCGTCACCTCCATGATATAGCACACAACACGTACGGAACTAATAGACATGTAGCAGCTACGCGCGAGAAAGCCAATCAATCAGCGTTCTGTTTTATTATATTGTCGTATAGCGTACGTATATACGGAGTAATGTCAATTGTATAGAGAAAGTTATGTAATGCTGGGGAACATCAATTTCGATATTCCAACGAATACACGTTTTGGGGTTCCTGATACCGAATGGTTTTGTCAACACTTCGTCTGCCCGTCCGTCCGTCTGTTCCGTCTTTGTTTCTTTGAAACTTGTTAAAGATCGCGGCCAGAGACGCACGTCTCACCGTTCCGCGGCCTCTCGCCCACCCCTCG